GGCGCGCAACAAAGGTACATACCCAGGACGCGCAGAGGCAGCTGCGAACCCGCCGAGTAGACGGCGGCACACAGCGCCACCTGCTGTGTGCCGCCGTCCACTCGGCGGGTTCGCAGCTGCCTCTGGAAGGCACCGAGATGTACCTTTTTCGCGCAATGGTCAAAATCAAGGTTTTGTAACGCGAGCTGTGCCACAGTGAAATGGAACTAGCCTGAGACTCTCTGTGACTTCCGCTCGTGAGACGATTGAAGATGCACACGGACCAAGATCGTGCAGGGCGGGGACACATGTCCCATCTCGTCTCAGAGTTCGACCGTTTTTATTTATTTATCGTGAGACGTGCGTGGTGCGAGAGAGGCTCCAAGGGCAAGGCGGCGCGTGATCACGCGTGTGAGCTGTGTCCCGTGTGAGGCGCTGACGTTGTGACGACTACTACGACGTCGGTGTCCGACGTGCGAGCGACGGGGTGTCGGAACTCGGATGGGTGAGCCGCACCACGCGCGCACGTGGACTGGAGGCGGCACGAGCCGGCAGCCGCCGCCCAGGGCCGCCGCTCCGGCCCCCGCCGCCGGCGCTCTCCGCCCGCGGTGGAACGAGGCCAACAATTGGCGTGTAAGAGAGAGAAGTTGGTGTAGATTGGGAGTGGGAGTCAGCGGAGAGAGAGAGAGAGGGAGAGAGAGAGAGAGAGAGAGAGGGAGAGAGAGAGAGAGAGAGAGAGAGAGAGAGAGAGAGTGAGTGAGATGTGACCTACTGAGCGCATGTGGCGTCGATGGATGGGGCGCCCCTGCGCTAGAGCTCCTCCTTCGGCTCGCCCTTCTTCTTCTTTTTCCTCTTCTTCTTCTTTTGAGGGCTCGTCTGCGGGAGAGCGAGGGACGGCTCAGGGACGGCTCGGCGGCTACAGGACAGCTGCACGGAGCACTGGCGACGCGATGCATCTCGGGTGGTGGCGCCCGTCCTCCCGGTGGCCGGGCGGCGGTCCGGCCAGGGCGCGGTGAGCGGTGCGCGCCGGCGGCTTGGACGGCGGCTCGTCTTTCTCGTCCTCGTACTTGTCCTTGCACGACTCGGGGCAGGTGGTGGCCATGAAGGCGCGGTTGGAAAGGCACTCGCCCTTGGCGGCCCAGTTGTGGCAGTGAAAGTTCTTGTCGATCGGCGCGTCCGGGTACGCCTTTCGCCGGTGCTCGAACCTGGCGGCAGCAGGGTCAGAGTGTCGGCCGGGCAAGTGGTGGCGGGCACTGGAGGCGCGCGCGCGCCACTCCCAGCACGAGTACTTGCACGAGTCATGCATGTACCCCGGGTTGGACTTGCACTGCCCGTCGGCCGCCCACCTGCGCAACGCAGAGGCGGCGGCTGCTCGGTCGCTGGGCGCAGCTCTCGTGGCAGGGCGGCGGG